CTTAAGATTTTAAGCAGGTAATGACATCAGATTTACAATTTATAGAGTTCATCCAGCAGCTATGTGTAATAGAATGGGTTGGAGAAAAGTAGAAAAAATCCAACAGGAAGATAAATTAAGAGACTGAGTTATGCAGATCAAAACATTGTGACAGTGAAAAGGAGAGAATGGAGAGATGAATTGAGGAATAATTAGGAAGAAGAGCATTCTAGGACTTGGCAATTAGGTTGTGGGGCAGAAGGGAGAAAAAGTTACAGATGAGTACTAGTTTCTGCAACTAAGTGTATGACTTAGCAGGATTGGCAAGGAAGAGAGAGATTCATAATCAGGATTTTCATCCTATGAAAGAAACTGGCTTTTTTGCCAGAATGCTTGTCTAATGCAAATAAATTTAATCTTGTCACCAGTGGCTGTTGAAAACTTACTGATTTATTGAAAAATCATAGAATTCCGTTATTTCTGCCATTCTAAAAATTCTTTTTGCCTTGGACTTTAGTTAATATTCTTAATAGGCATTTTTTCTTTTTACAGCCATGAATCATCTTAATGGACAGAAAATGTATGGCAAAATTATTCGTGTTACTCTTTCTAAACATCAGACTGTACAACTACCTCGAGAGGGACTTGATGATCAAGGGCTAACAAAGGATTTTGGTAATTCCCCATTGCATCGTTTTAAGAAACCTGGATCCAAAAATTTTCAGAACATTTTTCCTCCTTCTGCAACCCTTCACCTATCCAATATCCCGTAAGTATCAAAGTTGGAGTTTAAGGGTACACATTTTAAGAATAAAACCTAAAATTTATTATTAATCTTTACTTTTTTTTTCCATCCAATTTTCCTAGTCCTTCAGTAGCAGAAGAGGATCTACGAACACTGTTTGCTAACACTGGGGGCACTGTGAAAGCATTTAAGTTTTTTCAGTAAGCAAGCTTTCTTGTTTTTAAATTAGTGACTTCATAGAAGTTAAGAGTTGTCTTCATAGTTTTTATCCTTTTTGTTTATGGGTAAAAATTCAAGTATTTAAGCCCTTTCTAATTTTTATGAAGTATCTAATTTCATAATTTTGTTTCAGAAGAGATCACAAAATGGCTCTCCTTCAGATGGCAACAGTGGAAGAAGCTATCCAGGCCTTGATTGATCTTCATAATTATAACCTTGGTGAAAACCATCATCTGAGAGTGTCTTTCTCCAAGTCAACAATTTAAAAAGGGGGAGATGAAGATTGAGGGTGTATCACATTGTTTGGTGTCATCACCTATTGACTGTTCAGAAAAGTGGGGACCAGAGTTTGATTTTTTTTTGTTGTTTCTTTTTTTTTTTTTCATGCTGTTACCATTCCTTGGTTATAAAATGAAATGGCATACATAAAGGCAGAGTTGTTAACTGCTGTATTTCATCTGTTCTATAGGGAGGCCATTTTTATTGTATGTTTATAATTTTAGTTTAATTATACTTTCCTTTTTCAACTTAGTTGACATACGTGCCTTAAAAAGGAAAACTAGTGTTGCTATTGTGCATTTACTAGGAAAAAGGAATTGGTTGTCTAGGGCACATTGTTATATGGGAATTCAATATGTTTAGGCAGGGGTGTGTAAAAAGGTTAAGTTTTTGTTTCTCCTGCTTGGAACTTATTTAGAATTATTGGCTTGTCACATTTCTTTCTATTTAATCAAATAAGACATACTGAAGTAAAGCAGCATTTTTTAGTTTTTACTACCTTAGGCTTTCTTGCTTTAAAAAAACATTGGCCTTTTGTATCTCACAATTCTGGTCTAGATTCAGTTATGAATGTAGGCATTAGTTAAAATTAACAAGATGCAGAGTATTAATTTCTTAAGACAACAAAGTGGTTTCTGTAAGTTTGAGCCCTATGTGGAAAGCATTGTGGAATCTTAACCTTTTTGTACACACTCTTGTGGGACGTATCATATAAATGTCAGCACTAAGTAATGTCTTGTTTGTGGCTGAATATTTTTCGTAGATGTTTTTGAAGTTGACATGACTTACGTGCATTTAAATATATATTGCCATCCTTAGTTTGTAATTAAGATTTGGAATATGGTTGTGGATTTCTGAGCATGTGCAGACTGGTCTAGCTAGTTCAGGAACTGGTGCATGTATTTTTCAAAGATAAAGAACGTGTACTGCGAAAATTTGCAGGAAGATTAATTTTGTGGCAGTTTTCTAAAACTGACAACCAGGTGGGACCAAAGTTTATGTGCCTTTAGTCTTAATTTACCTTGCATTGTAATATTCAGTTTTAATAAATCTTCAAAATATTTTGTATTTAGGAATAGATCTGACTTTAATAAAAACATGGCTCAGAATCTACAGGTCAAATTAATTTGAACAGTTCTTGTCAATCTGAATTGTTGATTCTGTTTAAATGACCAATACTTTTTGAAATTGATGTACTTAGTTTCAAGATTCATAGATTCTGTTATCTATGTAGACAGAATGGTCATGTATATTTTCTATTAGTTGAGTTTTTACATCTTTAGAAATGTAAAATTCAGTATAGTTTGAAAGTGGCACAATTAAAAATTAATTTTCTAACAAAGTTGGGAGGTTTGATGGTTGTTTAATTTCCTTTTGTGTGTACTCTGCTTACCTCTGTAGCATGCTCAATAAACACTTCTGTAGCTCTGTATTCACCTTTTCTGTCTTTCTCTGCTGCCTTTTCTCTCTCCTCCTCTTTGTTTTTCACTCCACTGTGCTTCTGAATTCATGTTTATTCTCTGCCAGGGTGGGAAAGGAGTAATAATATTACAATTCTATGGCTTTATACCATAAATAAATCTAGATGCTGTGAAAATATACCAGCTGGTTTTTTTTTTTTTCTTAATTTAAAAGATAGTAACTGCTTTTCAGGAGGACACATATTAAACATTTCCCACCCTGTTATAATCTACTGCTTTAAAGACATAACTTTTATTGTATCTTGTTAATTCTTTCTATCTCTTTTGTTGTTGTTGTTTTTTTTAGTAGATTTATGCACTAATAGATCTTTTGGATTTGCCATGCTCTCTTGCTGCAGTTTCATCTTTCATCTTTTGTGTCTGCTAAAGATTTCCTACTAATCTTAGATTACCTTGTGAGTTTTAACAAAGAGTACTAGATGTTACTGGGAAGAAACAGTAACATTTGGTCTGTTTTTGCCATGGGTGGGAAGATAATACGTTCAGGTTATTTTAAAACTTAAGGGTAATTTGTGATGTTACAACTTTCTTTTTTTTTTTTAAAAAGAGTTCAGTTAGGGTGCTCTTTGTGTTACTCATAATATTTTTGGTCACTTTTTAAAAATATATTGGTTTCAAGTAACTTTAGAGTTAATACATATTCTGTAGGTTTGTTTTGTTATGAAATAACTAAGAATTATGCAAAACTCATACATTAGGAGAATAAAAAACAAATGGAGTAAGATAACTTTAAATGTGCCATATTAATACCACAATTCATTTGCCTCCAAGAAAGAAGAATGTAGTAAATAAAACAAACAATTGCTTACATTTGAGTCAGCAACATTGGGGTTCTTTGGAAGATAGGTGATCTCATATTTTTTCTTCTTAAAATGGGATTGTACTAGAGAAGCACTCAAAGCAACAGCAGATGGGCCTAAAGTATGTAAAAAACCAATACCATGGCTAGTGAATAGGAATTGAACAAAATTTCTTCTAAGTGAACTTTTTTTCTCAGTATTGGGTGGTGGTTGAAACACCTGAAAGTAAGTACTTAGCCACCTTTCAAGTTATTCTTTGTGGCTGGCTTTGGGTCCGAAAAAGAAAGGAGGGTCCTGAAATGTGCATAGGAACTGGATTGCTTCAGTCGCTGAGCTGGGGAAAGTTCACAATACCTCTGATGGAGGATTACCAGACACCAAAGTTCTTCCTGCCCAAGGAGTGGCAGATTCTTCAGTCTCTTAGAGTACACTATGATACACAGCCTTCCTTCCAAAGCACCATGTCCATAAAGTGGTAATTTTGACATTGTAGAATATTTAAAATTTGGTACCTTAACCCAGTCCTTGTCCTATGTAAGTTGCTGAAGTACTAGGTGAAAATACTGTCAGCATTGTCATCATTATTTCCACTCTATGCCTCAGTCTTTTACAATGAACTAGCGAACAGTGAAGTGTTCTTAACAGCTTAGCTGCTTGTTAATAGAAGCCTTACCTTGAATACTTTTTATGACTGCACTAGAAAACCTGTTTTTTTGATACTAAGATTTATTTGGAAATGGGTTTCAAAGCACCTACTTAAGGAATGGATTCATATGTATTTATATTGAATGTTATGTTTAGCATGAGAAATGACATAAATAACATTAGAAATGTTTAGAAATGTCATTTGAAAGCCACTAAGAATACCTTGGCTTAACCATGAAGGGTAACAAATCATTCTCTTCATTATGTTAGGAATATATTAACTCGGACTTTTAATTTGTTCCTGTAGTTCTATTTGGATCACCATATAGTTTCTAGGCAAAGGACAAGTCACTTTTCTAAGCCTCAGTAGCCTTCATCTATAAAATGGAGGCAATAAATTCTGCTCTGCCCACCTCACAGAATTCTTGTGAAGCTCAAATAGAGTAAATGCAGAAATGCTGTGTGGTAAACTGCTATGTAGGAGAAAATGTAACAGTGTCAAAGTTCTAGGACTGCCAGATTAGCTTGTAGTAAACTTAATCCACACTAAATTTTATCCTACTGCCTTTTTTTTTTTGCTACAAGGAAGTATTTTTTTAATGGTCTAAATTTTTTTTTAAGTTTTTTTAAGTGACATTTAAAGATGGAGAATGCAAGTATATAATGCATCCCAAAGCCAAATGAAAGGAGACTGGATTTATTAGTCTTATATTTTCTGTTTGAACTATTTGATAACCCAGTAATTGAACATAGATACATATTTAATTTTAGGCTCCACTTAATGAGTTTTTTTTATATATATAACTTTAAAGGTTGCTGTGAAACTTGGAGGTAATTCCAACACTTAAAGACTTTGAAGGCTATGAAAAGAAAAGATTCTCATGACTAGCACAGGACTTCAAACTAAGTTTCCTCACTGATGCAGTATTTTAAAATGGAACATAAATCTGAAAACATGTTCAGGAAAAGGTACAATATTGTTTAGTGAACATGAGGGTATGTAGGTTTCTATTGTAGCTGTTTCTAGAAAATCTTAATTTTAAGCAACAGTATTAGAATTTGTACTAATTATCAAAAATCATAATTTTATATTTTTCTAAAATACACTCCGTTTAAGTTTTTTTTTCACTTTAGGTTTTACAAATTAAAATATTACACATGTTGAAATGTCAGATTATTCACATTAAGGACAAAAAGAATTGTTCAGATATGCAGAAGAATTACAGAGCAAATTGAACACCTATGCACTTAGCACTTGATTCTTCCACACGTAACACTTTCCATACTTTATATAATTTTAATATATGACTTAAATAAAACTTAGATTGAATTGACATCCCTGTGTACTTGTTCTAATCCCTACACCATCCCTTCCCCAGAGGTAAACATTATTTGAATTATGTTTTAATTCAGCGGTTGCTCTTGGTCTGTATTCTGTAGCCTAAATTTTCTCTGCACGTATACCCTATAATATTCATGATGGTTGGATGGTATATTTTGTTGTCCAGCACAGTTATTTTTTAAGATTGAGATATTTGGACATCCATACTCCCCTCATCAAATCTCATGACATTTAACCAATTTTAAGGTTTTTAAATCACTTTTTTAAAAATAAATATTGAATAAGTTGTTGGAGTATTAAGTTCCTCCTAATGTGAAGATGTAAAAAGTAAGCAAGGAACTGTTGACAGTATCTTAAAAGCTGAAATTAATGTGTAAGATTCTTAAATACAAATATATCCTTTCTAGCTACCCATAAAATCCACCCTTCTTGCGACTTCCCTCTCTCCCATTTCAGTGGAAAGGTGCTTGGCATGTTGTTTTCATCCCTTTAATTGGTGTTAGTGTTGTATAAGATTTTTTAGTGAAGGCATGTTACTTTTTATTATGAAACATTTCAAACATACAACAGAAGACTATAACCCCCATCGTTCAACTTCATTTACCAACTTTTCTTGTTCCTTTACCCATTTCTAACCTCCCATATTAACACAAATCCCAAATATGTTTCATCATCAGACTTTCTGGTATATTTTCCTTGCATTCCTGGTCATAGTCACTATTCTATAATAACGTCTGGGCTAGCCTCACCTGTCAACATTACAATTTCTTCAGATCCTAGAAGCTTGCTACTAAAAATGCAGCCCCCAGATCAGCAATTAGTATCACTTGGGAGCTTATTAGAAACTCAATCTCTGGCCCTGTCTCTGACCTGCTGAATACATTTTGACAAGGTGGGCAGGTGAGATCCATTTGGACATTAAAGTTTGAGAAGCATTCTAGTAGAATATACTTTTTTCAGTTTCATGAAAATCAAATTTTTTTCCTAATGTGACTATTAGTAATTTTAAGTTAGGTAAGTACTGTTAATAACATTAAGGAATAACTGTAGAATTAAAAAGGACCCTATATATATGTTATAGTTTTAACCTCGTTTTAAATACAAACTTCTAAGGAAGTCAAATGAATAGTTTCACGACATATTTCTAGTAACTGATCTGTAATTAGAATACAGGTCCTTGGGTTCCCAGTCCAGTCCTCCAGTGTGTTCTCCCAATTAAAGGAAATACAGCGCTGCTGTTATCAAATTAAAACTAATTTAGTGTACAATAGGTAAATAGCTATTAATAGAAATCAATTTTTTTTATTTCTAAACATCAAATTTAGCTTGACAGGGAAAGAAATTCCATGTGAATTGATTTTAAACGATTAGAAATTAACACTCTTCTAAGTGCTGACTCAAAGTATGGTATAATAAAATTATGCCCTTGGGTTGTTTTAGTAAATAGGCAGCTTTTCTATTCACTGAATGCTTCTTCAGTCCATTTCCCAACTCCAACTGGATAGCAGTTTCATAGTTGAAATACCTAAGCTTCGCTGAGTAATATTGCAGATACAGTTAGAGCTGTGTAGATACAGATTTAGCTTTGCCATAGCATGCCTTTAGGGACTCTTAACATATTCTTAGCATAGTTCTTAATGTTCTTGTGACTAGCAGTTTCCTCCAGTGTCCTGTCTTGAATTTTTCCTGCTTACCAACTCTATTGCTGTCCCTAAACCTTGCTGCTTTAGCTGTCATTTACACTATTCATTTTTCATCCATCCTCTTTTCTTCTTTGCAATTAAATTTCTTGCTCCTGTGACTTTGGTTTTTATAACCATAACCAACCGATTATATTATCCCTTTTTACTTCTGGTTAATGAACTGACAAATGATAGTGTGTTGTATATAATATTCAGATGTTTCCCTGTTTTTGTCTGGTTCAGCTTAAAAATCCTTTTATTTAGCTTTTTAAATTTGGGGGTTGTAACAATTCCAGACGGTTCAGATCACTAGAAGTCTTCCAGAAACCTGAAGCATTCATGTATTTATCACTATGTTCAGTTCTATTGGAGGGGAATCTGTCAAAGAATTGTGGTTAAAGAGCTCCTTTCGGAAGACTTAAAAACTTCTAAAAGGTGATTTCAATTCATTTAGTCATGATTCCAAGAAAGTAAAGCATATATGTTCAAAGGAATAATATTTTCTAAAGATGTAAGTGAAAGAGCTCCAGGGGGAAATAATATTACAATAGTTATCTCTTCCCTAAGTTTGGAATTTTATAAGATACTGTTTTTTTTTTTTTTCCTGGAAAAAAGCATAGGCATTGATGCTAGACTAAACTGTATTC